GAACGCTGAGAAACCTCAGCACGGCAACCAGCAGGAAGAATAGTGGCTACACCACCCCTTACTGCAGACCCCTCGCAGTAGCTGGCGTAAACTCGCGCACTCGGTGCCACCTTAGCAAGAAAGTCGATGGGCTGCTTCTGGTCCTGATGCACCTCCTGGAGGGCCACAATGCCGCAAGTGAAGTTCAGGCGAGTGAGGTAGGCGAGCTTCGGTCGAGCAGCATGGCCATGATATTGTAGTAGGGCACGGGTATTCCAAGATGAGAAGGAGAAAGACGGGGGGGGGGGGTGCTAGGCGCCCGTGAATAGCTGCAGCGAAACCCTTAAAGAGGCCACTCTGCAGCCTCGGGTGGCGCGATGATGCTCTTGACAGCCTCAGCCAGCCTCTCTTCCGGGAGCGCCAGCTTCTGCGCGATGTTGTCGGCCCAGGCGACCTCCGAAGGGGTGTTCCCTGGGTTGGGCGAGAGACGAAGAACAGGGCCCCATCCAGCCATAAGGTACCCCCTGTCGCGATCAAAGAACCAACGCTTGTCGCTGGCCACGTTGTTGAAAGCCTCTCTGAGCTTGCGGCCCTGGATCTCAAGTTTGATCTGTCTGGGGTTCTTATCCGCACCGATATGAAGCGTCGCCATCTGGTTGCCCATGGCCATGACCTCGAAGCGTTTCCACGGACCAGGAGCAAGCCGCTGGGCGCCCAGAACCTGAGAGACACGTCGAGCCGCGGGGCCCGCAGCACTAGATAATTGGATCGTGAACTTTTTGGCAACTTGCTCGCTGGAAGTAATCGTGAAATACTCAGGCTTGCCGCCGCAGCTGATGATCCAGTCCGACATGATTTGTTGAACTGCCGACAAATCAACAATTTTTGAAGCCATGACGCGGATGATTGTGGCGCCGACGTCTCTGTCAAAGCCTGCAGCGCTGGCGGTGGGGAGCTTGGGCTAGACATTGGCGAGCGCGAGAGCATCGCGGAGCTCTTGAATTTGCCCACGTAGCGCTGCAATTCAAAGTCGTGTCCAGCCAAGCTGTGCTCGACGGAGCGCAGGCGCACCGAGTGGCCGTCGAGCTGTTCCTGGAACTTGCGATGGAAGGCGTCCAGCTTCTCGGGGCAGAACTGCTCAGAGGCTTGCTTGGCCATGGCTGGGAGTTGTTGGACGCCTTCAGCCAGTTGCCCAGCAGCTCGAGAGTGCTTAGTAAGCTGAGCAGCGAAATCCTGGATCTGGTCGGAGACCGTCGCGGAGACAACATTGGTGAGGTCGCGGATGAGCTCGTCCCTGTGCTCGGCCATCTTCTTGGCGACGTAGTCACTTGCCAGCTGCTTGATGTAATCGTCCTTGGTCCACTCGTCCTCGCTGTTGATGTCCGCGTCATCCTCGCCCGCCGCCGCTGGGGTCGCCGCGGTGGGAGCAGCGACAGCAGGAGGAGCAGGATCGTCAGAACCAGCGTTCGTCCCATCATCAGGATCTGCATCGGCATCCAGAGCAGCAGTAGCATCGAGCTGACCACGTCGTGCCCTCTTGCTCTTTGCGTTGGGACCACGGACGGCTTGAAGTCCTCCATTGCGGCCTCCGCCCATGAAAAACTCAGAGCGTTCGAGCAAGCAGGAACGGGAAAGGCCTCCGTTTACCCACCGACCCGAGCGCAGGTGCGATGCGAAGCACTGCCAGACCACAGGAGTCTTGCCCGCCGCGGACTAGCGGTATCCACTTGTTCCCCTGAGGAACTTGGCATCTTGAGCCAAAATGGCTACGGAGGAGGACGAGGAGGAGGAGGAGGAGGAGGAGGAGGAGGAGGAGGAGGAGGAGGAGGAGGAGGAGGAGGAGGAGGAGGATCGAGGAGGAGCAGGGAGGAGGCACGTTGTCCCCTGGGTCGGTCTCCGCGTCGCCGCTCTCTCGTGGGTAGCTCTCGAGTCCTCCCGGACAGGGAGCGCGAGCCGGAGGCTTTGCCCCGCTCCGACCTCATCAGGCGCAGCGCCTGCGCCCCCACTCCGAAAGGGGAGCTGGAAATCAGGAAGAACGCGACGAGTGCTATTCTGATCAGTACATCGTTCGCTGCGTCATCCCACTCGAGCGTGCGACGACTGGTCGCCATGAGCGACCCCACACTCCGCAGAATCCGCCGAACCCCCAAACTGGGATCCTTCGGGGGAGGGGAGGCAGCTCTTGCTTCACAATCGGCTTCCGCCAGCTTTTCGCCGGCGGCGCCGCCCTCATGCTGCTCCCGCAGGGGGCGGCATCTGAGCTTCACGACCCCTCGACAGCGAGGCCCTCCCCCGGACTTCCCCGTGTGCAGCCTGGTCCATGCCTCCAGCCTCGTGAGCAGTCGGCGGGGCCCGCACGAGGGAGGGCTGCCCCGAAGCACTGGACCAGGTATGCCCCGCGAGGCTATCCAAGAACGCGCGGAGCGCCGAGCTCCTGCACAAGAAGCCTCTGGGCGCGCTCCCTGCAGGCCTGCCCGCCGCCTGCTGCGCAGCTGACTCCTCGGCCAACTCGGGCTCGGGCTCGGGCTCGGGCTCGGGCTCGGGCCCACGCTCGGGCTCAGGCTCCGGCTGGGGCTCAGGCGTGGCTCAGGCGCCTGAGGGAGCCCTGCAGGTGTGCGGACGCGACTGGGTCCTGGTGCCTCACGCGCCCGCCCGCGGAGGTGCCACGCGAGCCGAAGCCCGACGCAGCCGACTTGAACCAGAACGGCTGCATACACCTCCCTCCCCCCCTCCTTCCCACCCTCCCTCCCTTCCTCCCCCCTTCCAACCTCCCCCTCCAGGGAAAAGGGCATGGGGGAGAGGGGTCCTGAGAGAACGGATCCTAGACGCAAGGGCATCCCCCCGGGATCGCGTCTCATCATGGGCCGCGTTTTGACGATCCTGGGGCCCGGGAAGGGCCCCGACATGAATTTAGTCGGGCGTGTCCCCCTACATGCGGATTTTGGAGGAAACATAAAAAATAGTCAAACAATACCTCAAAATGCTCAAAAATAATCGACTGTAGAGGGACAGGCCCGACTTCAGCCTAGAACGTCGAACAGCCTCAGGACCCCTTTCCTTCAGAACCCCCTTTCGCTCACGGTGGCCCTGAAGAGCCACATCCTGGCGCTCGTCTTGCAGTGGCCTTCGACGGGGATCCAGCAGGTGGCCACGAGGCGCCTCCCAGGACCACCAGAAGCCGGCAGCCTCTACAAGCCTGAATGGCGGAGGCGGAGGAGGAGGAGCAAGGGGAGGAGGAGAAGGAGGAGGAGGAGGAGGAGGAGGAGGAGGAGGAGACGAGGCGCCTCCCAGAGGCAACCAAAAGCACGTAGCCTCTACAGGACCTCGATCCACGAAGGGTGAGGCATGCACCGTCTGCGGAGTCCCTGCAAGCATAAGGAGGTTCCCGGAGGCCATGCCCAAACCGTCAACATCTCCCATCGAAGCGCGATCCTCGAGCCCAATTCAAAAATCTGTCCCGGGTCAAAATACCTCATGTCAGAACCTCGATCAAAACATCCCGGGTCAAAGAATCGATCCTAAATCATCGAACCGCGATCCTCGAGCCTCGATGGGCGGCTCCAGACATGTTGCCCATCTTTTACTTCCGCCGACCTTCCGCTGGCTCACTTGTGCCAGCCCTCCGCCGAGGGCGACTTGTGCCGAAAACGAGACACGATTCCCTCCCGTGACCTCTCAGGAGATCCGGGCATTGCAGTTTTTCCACAACGGACGTGTTCGCCTGGTTCGGGGCCCCGGGCCCATCGCAGATCGATCGGGCTCGAAGAATGGAGCAGAAAGATGGGTTCTAGGGCTCTGGTCGTGATTGCTACGATGCTGCAATCGGATGTCAGGGAAGGAGGGAGGTGATCGATCAGGGGCAGCATCAGGAGGGGGAGGGGTGCAGGAGAGGGAGCGCATCGACCCCTCATCGGCCATTCCTCGCTGATGGGGGCCCGATAACCCGCCCCGCCCAGGAACGTGTGGATTCGCTGTCGGGGGCCTATTGCCGATCTATTGGCGACGTATCGTGTATCGACGATTCACGGTCGATGATTCACCCGCTGGAGCTGGTCCCCCCAATCGTTTCCGCCCCTCTCCCCTTCCCGTACCGTGAAGGGCGTTCCAACCCTGACCTTATAGAGAACAAGAAAATTGCCCTCCAGAGCTGCAGACCGACCTGGACTGCTTAAAATCCCTCGACAGGAATTTAGGCGTCGAGGTCCTGGTGATCTTTGATAGCCCTCCTGATAGGTCAAAGGGGAACACGCTGAGATCCGAGCGCTGCGATTGTTTCACACCGGGCGTGCTCGCCCGGTTCCGGAACCCCGGGCCATTGCAGATCGAGCGAGCTCGAAGTATGAAACAGAAAGGTTGGTTCTAGGGCTCTGGTTGTAATTTGTTACGATGTTGCAAGCGGGTGTGAAGGAAGGGTGGGGATGATCGACCAGGGGCAGCATCAGGATGGGGATGGGATGGGTTCAGGAGGGGGGGGATGGGGCAAAAGACCGACCTTCCAGAGTGCTAGAAAATAGCCCAAGAAACCTACAGACCCATCTGGACTGCTTACAAAACCTCGACAGGATCTTAGGCGTCAAGGTCCTGGTGCCATTTTGTTTTAGCCCGCCTGGCAGATCAGGGCCAGAAGCTACCCCTTCCGTACCGCGAAGGGCGTTCCAACCTAGACCGTCCAGAGAACTAGAAAATAGTCCTCGAGAGCTCCAGACCGTTGGACTGCTTACAAATCCTCGACTGGAATCTTGGCGTCAAGGTCCTGGGGCTCTTTTGTTTTAGCCCGCCTAGCGGGTCAGGGCCAGAAGCTGCCAATGACGGGCTGGCCGTGAAACTGCGCTGCCCAACAGGAACCCGGGACGGGGCACACTGCTGACCATCGGTGCTACCCAAAGGGGATACAGGCTGCCTTTCGGCGTGGAACACTGCTTCCTCAACGGTGTTGCCCTTTGGGGATCCTTTTTGGCACGAAGATGCATCATCATCACCGGGAGGCGCAAGGGTGGTCGCCACCGTCGTGGCAAGGGCCACTAGCGCCACGCGGCGCCCGCGCTCGAACTGCTGGCCCGGGGCCCGGCCGCGCCGCGGGAGCCGGTCTGGGACGCGCTGCCGGGTCGCCCTGCGCAGGGCGGACGACGACGACGACGACGACGACGACGACGACGACGACGACGACGACGACGACGACGCGGCGACGACGCGGCGGCGGCGACTACGAAAACGGCGACGGCGGCGGCGGCGACGGCGGTGCCCTCCCCCAAGCCAGCCCATTTTGTCAGTCGAAGCACGGCGATGGGCATTTCGCGAACTGAAGCAAGCCTCCTGCGACCGGCACGCGAGCGTGTGCTACGCACACGCGCGCTGATTGACGGAAATCCACAAACCAAATCTATCCAGGTGGGGTTTGGCTTTGGGCGGACATGAAAGGGCTTGAGGGGTCAGTGGCCGCGGCGGTCGTCAACAGTACTAATGGCATTCCCATGACTCTCCCTCAAGCCTGCTTATTTGGTCAATCGGGGCACGGCGATGGGTATTTCAGGAGCTGAAACAAACCTCTTGCGAGCGGCGCGCGTGCCGAGAGACGGAAATTCCTGAACCACGCCACTATAATGCAGTAGGCTGGCATGGGAAGGATATCAAAGAGACCTGAGCTGTTCCACCGCTCGACGATGTACCGCATGGGTGCACCGACATCGCCGATGAACTTACACACGATACGAGGGTATGGTTTGGCAACTTTGGGGGGGGACCGGCTCCTCTGGTCCCCTGGTCCTCTGGGCATCCAGTCCTCCAGTCTTCCCGTCCTCTGATCCTCTGCTCCTCTGGCCCTCCAATCCTCTGCGGCATGGTCGCCCGATGCTAATCCTCTGGTCCTCTGGTCTTCTGGTCTTGGTTCTCCCGTCATGGTCCTCCGGTCCCCTCCGGTTCTCTGGTCCTCTGGCCCTCTGGTCCTCCGGTCCTCTGGTCCGTCTGGTCCTCTGGTCGTCCGATCTTGATCCTCCGGTCCTCTGGTCCTGTGGTCCTCCCGTCCTCCGGTCCTGCAGACCCTCTGGTCCTCCAGATCCTCTGGTCCTCCAGTCCTCCGATCCCCTTGGCCACCTGGTCTCATGTCCCATGGTCCTCTGGGCCTCCCGTCCTCTGGTCCTTTGGTCGTCTGGCCCTCCGACCGTCTGGTCCTCCAGTCCTCCGATTCTCCGGTCCTGCAATTTCCCGCTCCTCTGGTCCTCTGCATGGTAATCCAGTCCTGCGGACTTCCGGTCCCGTGGTCCTCCGAGAAACCTGCATGTGTCCGCGGGCATCGGTCGAATCTGGACCCTCCATGCTGGATCCTCGATGGTCCTCCTCCTCCTCCTCCTCCTCCTCCTCCTCCTCCTCCTCCTCCTCCTCCTCCCTCACGTCTCCCCGCAACCCATGGTGGATGATATTGCCGTATCGAGCGCCCCCTGCGAAAGGGAACGATCAAGGAAGAACAACGGCCTTCACTGCGGTGTTCCTGGCGGTATGTGAATACGCCTGAGCGCTTTCGTGTTCATGTGTCGTGCCACCAGGAATAGCACTCCACATGCTTAAGATATCCATGTTTCTCTTCCCTCCAGGTCGTTTTCCCCGATGGTGCAAGAAATTCCTATAGGTATGCTTGTCAGCAGATCCGTGTAGGCACATGCGCGGCGGAGCTGCGCGGGTCGCCGGGCGTGTCGCCGGCGGGTTCTTTTGGCGACCGGGTGCGGCAGCGGACCGCGCGTCGATCCGCTGCGCCTGGCTGCCCTGCGGTGAGGGCATTGTTTTTTATCTCTCCGAGTCCGAGGACTTGCATGCACGGGAAAATTAATTCAAGCAAAGGACTCCAGACCACAACTGTGCGGTGAGGGCATTGGATATGGAAGCCTTGGATGAGGAATCCAGGGTCCAGAAGCTGGTGGAACAACAAATGAGGCTTGGCCGTGGCTATCGCCGCCGCCCTCAGGGCTTGGCCATGGCTATAAGATAGGGAATCCCCCAGGGTCTGAAGCCTCCTGGGCACATTCCCTAACGAGCGCCCTCACCGCATGTTCTCGCGGGCGCCAGGCGGCGCACCCTCTGCGCGCAGAGGTCATTCGCAAGGCGAGGCACACGCCCCAGCAGGCCCGTCCCCTTGGAGTTCCTGGGGCCGTCTGGTGAAGGCCACCCAGACTTGCTCACGTCGTGGGACAATCAGGGCGGGAGGTGATCGGCCCTCTTTAACCTCTGGGGTGCCCTCGCCAGGCCCTGGGACCGTCAAAAACCGACTCCGGATGAAAAACTGGCCTTGGGGATAAGGTCCAGACCCCGGGGGACCCCGTCATGAACAAAAACAAAAAACACGACAAAAACCACATCGCATGTCTGGGTAGCGCCCGCTGCACTGACGAAACGCTACCTGCCCCTGCGTGTGCCGTCGCGGGCGCGGGTCGCGGACGGGTTGGGGCGGGGCGCGGGGCGACGGCGGCACTTTTTGTGTTTTTGCCGCGACGGCGGCGATCGCGTGCTGCGTTCGAGGCCAGAGGCGGGGAGGCTGCTGGGCGAATCGTACACACACACTCACACACAAGGGTGGGAGACGGCGAAGGGCGGCCGCGGAGGAGGAGAGAGAAAGGCGGCACACCTAGGCCATTGATAGATTCGTGAGCAACGAAGCGCGACAACGACAACGGCAACACACGGCAATGATAACAACGGTGATCCGCGTCACGCAACCGCGAAACAACGGTGATCCGCGTCACGCAACCGCGAATCAGCCACGCCCTGTGGGACAAGGCAAGACCGTTCTCACGAGCGGCGTACATATCCGCATCCGCGCCCTCGCGGTCTGCATTCCGGGGCGCGATCCCGCGGATACGCGGTCGCACGGATACTTTCCGCGCGGGGCATCCGCGAACAAGACGCCCCGTATCCGCGGGGTCGCGGCCCGGGGGCCCGGCCCGCGACGCCGCGAATACGGAGATGCTGTTCGCACACGAACGCCCTACTGGACAGTGCAAGACTGTTCGACCCCGAACTGTGCCCGCAAGTACAGGGAACGCACACACATTTTTGGTCGGCGGGGCGAGAGCGAACCTCTTCCGCTAAAAGCTAGGCAGGCTACGCACAGCTCAAATTTGGAAGACAAAGCACAGGCGGGCGGATCCTCTGGCGGCCGGAGAGGGCGGGGCCCGGGGTGCAGGCGGTGCCGAAGAGCTTACACAAGAAAAGGTACGCCGCGGACAAGAGCCGGAGGCGAAGATCCGGAGGGTGAGCGATGTGGTGTTGCCGTCAACGGCGCGTCGTGAACACCAGCCTCAAGCACTGCAGAGGAGGAGGTGCCACGTGACCAACGGGGAACGCACACACATAGGCCCCGCAGGCTCGAACGGCAGCCCGTTGCCTTCCTCCCCCGCGCGTCCCTCCTCCATCGAATGCGCGGGCAGTCCTCTGGAAGCGCTGCCAGGCCTGGAGCCAGCGGCTGTGCCGCTGCCACTGCGCGCGAGAGAGCTGCCGCCACTGCGCTCGCGGCTGCCAGCACGAGCGCGGCCAGGCTGCCTTGGTGGCGTCGCCATCGCTGGCGGCTGACACGTCGGCGATGCGGGGTGATGCACGATGATTTCTTCCCGCGGCGAGAAGCCCTGGATCAGATAGGTCGAGTCCGCATACGAGCAATCAAAGTAACGATCGTCGACGACGTGACCTGCGGAAACCAATCGGAAGCACCCGACTGCGAGAAAAACCAGGCGCGCCTGCCAGCAAGCAAGATCATATTGCTGCTGGCTTCTCTTTAAGGAGCAAGATCAGCTGAACAGCTCCTGGCATGTGGACATAGCCCGAACCACCGCGTGACACGCGCGACCGGACAGGCAGCAAAAGCACTCGGACCGGTCTCCACCCCGCAAGGGGACCCTCGGACCACCCCTCGGCGGCAGGGGCGCACCCGACGAGCGAGAGGCCGAGGAACGCCTCTGTGACGTGCTCGCACGGCGAGCCCGTGCGCAGCAGTGAGGGAGAAGGAGAGGCGAAGGAGAGGAGAGACTCATACTGGGTGATGAGAGCAGTGCGGAGGCAGCAAGCCAAGTCACCTCCCAGACGGTTCTGCACGCTAACGAGCTCCGGCCACGAGCCACGGCCCCCGCCCCCCGCCAGGACCCCACCCCCTCCACCACCTCATCCTCCCCATTTAAAAAAGATCCGGCATTCCAAAAAGGACTCGGCTGGGCAAGAGCGGCTCCGCCCGAGGGCCCCGCACCACCGAAGGGCCTGGGCGGCCTTCTGCGCCGCGGCTCTGCCTCACTTCAACACCGCAGTCACGCCCAACAGCAAGGGCACGAGCGTAGGACTGTAAGCCCAAGCACCTGACCACCCGACATAGACGCAACCAAAAAACTGCAAGCTGGGATCGTCGCAGTAGTTACAGTAGTAGTTCCCGTACACTACCTCGTATCCTGATCCGCACGAAGCAAACTCTGTGTATACGTTGAACGCGCAGTCCCCATCATCGTCGGCACACTGACCGCAGTCGAGTCCTTCAGGGTCGGTCGGCGGCTCTTCGTCGCAATCGCCTCCGTCATAGTTGCACTCCCAATTGTAGCACGCGCTGTCGCAGTATCCGTGGCCCGGCCATCCGTTGTAGCAGCCGTTCGCGCAGAGCTCCTGGTCGGTCGTTGTCCACCACATCTCGGGCTCAGGCTCTGGCTCTGGCTCTGGCGTGGTGTCGCAATCGCCTCCGTCATGGTTGCACTCCCAATTGTAGCACACGCTGTCGCAGTAGCCGTCGCCGGGCCACCCGTTGTAGCAGCCGTCCGCGCAGAGCTCCTGGTCGGTCGTTGTCCACCTCATCTCGGGCTCAGGCTCTGGCTCCGGCTCTGGCGTGGTGTCGCAATCGCCTCCGTCATAGTTGCACTCCCAATTGTAGCACACGCTGTCGCAATAGCCGTCGCCGGGCCACCCGTTGTAGCAGCCGTCCGCGCAGAGCACATTGTCGATCGTTGTCGTAGCCCCCGAAGAGCATGTTTCGCAACACAAGCCCCCGAAAGCAGAACACCAGCCCCAGCAAGCTACTTCGCTGCAATCGTCAGACCTCACTTCTAATATCCCGGGCACGTCGTTATAGTCGTTGCACTCCGTCATAGCTGCAGCACGCGGTTGGCAACATACGCCTTGCACCTCTACGCTGACGAAGCACATGCCAGCAACATCCCCGCAACCAGTGACCCCGGAAACATTGAGCTGTTGGGCTAAAAAAAAAGAGGGCGGCATCGTCATCGTCGCACGTGTCTGGCTCCTTGTCGGTCGTTGTCCACCACATCTCGGGCTCAAGCTCTGGCTCAGGCGTGGTGTCGCAGTCGCATCCGTCATAGTTGCACTCCCACTTGTAGCACGCGCTGTCACAGTAGCCGTCGCCCGGCCATCCGTTGTAGCAGCCGTCCGCGCAGAGCTCCTGGTCGGTCGTTGTCCACCTCATCTCGGGCTCAGGCTCTGGCTCCGGCTCTGGCGTGGTGTCGCAATCGCCTCCGTCATAGTTGTACTCCCAATTGTAGCACACGCTGTCGCAATAGCCGTCGCCGGGCCACCCGTTGTAGCAGCCGTCCGCGCAGAGCACATTGTCGGTCGTTGTCGTAGCCCCCGAAGAGCATGTTTCGCAACACAAGTCCCCGAAAGCAGAACACCAGCCCCAGCAAGCCACTTCGCTGCAATCGTCAGACCCCACTTCTAATATCCCGAGTACGTCGTTATAGTCGTTGCACTCCGTCATAGCTGCAGCACACGTTTGGCAACATACGCCTTGCACCTCTTTGCTGACGAAGCACATGCCAGCAACATCCCCGCAACCAGTGGCCACGGAAACATTGAGCTGTTGGGCTAAAAAAGCAAGGGCGGCATCGTCATCTTCGCACACGTCTGGCTCCTTGTTGGTCGTTGTTCACCATTTGCTGAGGGCTCGCCCATCACGAACTACCTGGTAGTCACACTTGCCCAAGTAAGCTGTATCAATATTGGCACAGCTGGCTTGACAGGTGCTGTCATACGTCTGGCCGTCTTCACCACATACAGGGTCTGAGTGGGGACAGTTGCAGCTCTCGGCTCCAGACATCAGAGCCCGTCCTGCATGTGCCATCGGCAGCGCTTGGACCCTGCGGAACAGCTCGCCACTCTTGCATCGGGGGACATCATCAAACAAAAATCAAAACATCGTCCCCCCATCTAATTCTTTACTAGTCTTGAATATCCCCCCTGTAGAAGGACACGTGCACCCGCAGGCACGTCATGGCCCTGCCGGCGGAATCCACGGTCCTGATCTTCAGCCGGTAGCCGCCGGCCACCACCAGGGGGGGCAGCGTGTCGAGGGCGAGGCGCAGCTCCGTGCGTCCAGGCGGCAGGGGGCACCCGCGCCGGCTGTGGCTTCTGCCGAGGTGCCTGCACAGGTCCTCCTCGTACCCGTGGGGGACACTGTGCCATGCGAGTTCACGACGAGCCTTCGGCAGCCGTGCCCTTGTACATCTTGACGCTGAGGGTCCCCCCAGACACGTTGTGGGAGAGATCCCCGTAGGCGCGCACCTGTAGGTGGGCCCAGTCGAACTCCGCGCGACTGATAGACATCACGTCACGCTTACCGCCACAATCCTCATTCTGCACACCAGCGCCACGGTCGAGTATCTCTGCAACGGTTGTCACATCGCTTCTCTCCTTCCCCTCACCTGCCATCTCGTCGAGATATCCCCAAAACTTGTCCTTGACTTTGGCATCGGCTCTTGTGAAGACGCATAGGACGGCGACGACTGAGCGAGCAGCCGCCGACGCCATCGACGTCATGACACACGTCTCGAAGGGTCCAAGGATACAGAATCGGAAATGCAATTCTCCGACAGGTTTCATGCTAAGGGGCCAGGACTGGGGAGCTGCCAATGCGTTTGCTGTCGTTCTGGTAAAAGCATGAAGCCGTCGAAAAGCAAACACATATCAATTTTTGTCGCGCGCTCCCACTGGAAGGGACGCAGGCGTGGGTCTATACCTGAGCCCCTCCCGAACTTGGCGTCCTCTGAGGTCTCGAACGTAGGCGCCAGACCAAACAATGTATGGGTCTGTCTTTAGTTGCCGCGTCTGTGGGTTCGCAGTAATCAACAACTAACAACCGTCTGTAAGGCCAACTCTAACACCCCACGAGCTGCTTGGAGGTTGGAGGTCATGGAGAATCATCGCGGGGCCTTAGATAGGCACAGGACGCCTGAGGGTTCCAGAGGACCCCGGAGGACTACAGAGGACACTGGAGAGTCCTAACTGTTCGCAGGCATCCCATGAGCCCCAGGTCACCAGGTCCAAGGTGTCCCCAGCTGTTCGCTCAATCTTGGAGCCCCTGGGGCCCTTTGGGCCTCGTGAGGGATGCTCCGGAGGCCGCGAGGGCCTCCTTGGAAACACCAGGGGCACCTTGGGCCAGGGGCACTTCTAGCATCGCCCGACATGAAGGGACGAATGCACAAATACCGATACTCTCCAGACCTCGCCCAGGGCGTACTCGGACCGGCATTCCTAAGAGGATCCAGCCGTGGCGACGAGGCCACCCTCCCACGAGGCCCGAGGCCAGAGAAGGCGAAAGCAGGGGGAGTGCATCGGCATCGGCACGTCTCCCCTGTGATCCAACCCAAGAGGATGGCAGGGGACCCCAAATCGGGGAACGAACAATGACATAAACATAACAACTCGGAGATCCGCACGGATTTCTCGGATCGGCGCTGGGGCCCCCTGGCGCGCTCCGCGCGGCTGGGAGGGGCGTCGGGCGCCGATCCGAGAAATCCGCGCGGACCTCCGAGTTGTTATGTTTATGTCGTTGTTCTCTCCCCTGCCAAAGCGACTCCGAAGGCGGAGGGACGGACCCGCACGCGGCATCCTGGCGGGCGACCGAGGGCCCCCGGAGGGCAGCAGGGGGGCGGCACGGGATCTGCGAAGGCCCGCCGCTGCAGCCGCCGACGTCACGGTCTTTCAAAAGCGGCTGCCGCTCGGGTGGTAATGTTGATGTTAGGAGGCAGCTGCTGGGAGGTCTTCGCCGGAAGGATTAAGGAAGATTAAGCCCCAATGGGGGGCTGTTGCGCTGGAGCGGGCCTCGGATTAAGCGGGATTAGGCCAGACTAAATGGGATTAAGCGGGACTAGGCGGGATTAAGCCGGATAAAACTGGATTTCGGGCCCGGACAAAATCAGAATTTGACCTCCCAGGAGATGCATCCGAAGTGATGGCTCTAAAACTCCAAAAGGTGGAATAGAAAAGTAACCACAGGCCAGTGGCAGCGACAGGGTAATGCCAAGGAGGGTTGGTCTCTTGGGCGCGACGCCCAGCAGGCCCAGCAGAACAGCTTGCCCGCTGAAGCGGCGGCAGCTGCTATGGAGGCAAGAGGCAATGGAGGAAACGGTCGGCTTGGTTCTCGCCAGATGAACTGAGTCGTGCTGGTGAATATTATTCACCAGCACGACCCACCTCGCGCTTATTCAATAAGCGCGAGGTGGGTCGGCGTGTGCAAGCATTTGAAACCTTTGCCAGCGATGTAAGACGGCTAGCGATTGCCCCACAAATCCTCGTCACGGGTCGCGACGGCATGTGCTGGGTCGGAACGCCAGCGAGATGCAAAGGAGTCACCCTCATGAAACCCCAGCATACCGATCTTCCTCATCATGAAATTTCTGCAATATCAAGATACACATGCAACTGAGGAGGAAGACTGCTGTTGAAACACCATCATCCAGAAAACGGAGCACACTGGAACTGGACAGAGCTAGTTGAGCAGGGCGGCGCGATGAGTGCAGCAACAACCAGACAGGCGAGTGAACAGAACTCGTTCAGAGCGCTCCACGAGGACAGCACGTCTTGAATGAACGATTTGCAACTGGACCCTACCGGACTGAATACAACTGCCCCAGAGTATACATTCCCAACTACACTGGCCACTTCGCCGCTCCCTCCTCTGGAGGTTCCAAGAATCTTCCCGAAGGCCCCGGAATCCCAAAGAGGCCTCCATCATTCATTTGTCTGTTGCTACGTCTACGTCCGGGTGCTGGGGCCCACAGCCGAAAGCCTGCCAAGCAAACTAGCCAGAGTGTATAGTTGTCGCCCAAGGAGGGCGCCCGGCAGCCTGTACTGCATGAAAACGGGCTGGAACAGAGGGACACATCAAAATAGGCACACGACGGCGAACACGCCGGCGGGAGGCCAGGCCGGCGGCCGGCGAGACGAAGCAGGCCGGCGGGACGAAGACGCCGGCCGATCCTCGATCCTCCCCTCCATTCCTTTTCCTTCTAGATAACTTCTCCCTGCCGCACCCCGAGGCCAGTTTTTAGGGCGAGCCGGACGTTTCGCATAAGACTTCCTCATCATTTATGATCCTGAAGCTTAAAAAGTGGTCAAACAATCACAGATGAAGGGCGGGTCGTTTTCAACATGTGGTTCTCGCCTTAGCGCCGCGCGCATTCGTTCTAACAACTTGCAAGAGTTTCACGGATTGAAGGCAAGTGGTCTTCAACATGTGGTTCTTGCATTACCGCCGCGCACATTTGTTATACAGAAATTGCACGGGTTTCACGGATTGAGGGCGGGTCCTTTTCAAAATGCGGTTCTCCCCGTAGCGCCGCGCGCTTTCTTTTAACAGCAAAAGGATGCGCGGGTTTCACGGATTGAGGGCGGGTCCATTTCAACATGTGGCTCTCGCCTGAAGGCGGCGCATAGTCGTTTGAATCATTGCAAAGGCTTCGCGGATTGAGGGCGGTTCCTTTTGAAAATAAGGATCTCGATTTAGCGCCGCGCACATTCGTTGCAACAAATTGCAAGCTTCTCACGGATTGAAGGCGGCTCCATTTCAAAATGTGGCTCTCGCCTCAACGCCACACACAGCCGTTTTAAAACTTTACAAGAACTTAACGGATTGAGGGTAAATGGTTTTCAAAGTGTGGCGGTCGCCTTCGCGCCGCGCACATTCGTATTCAGGATTATGCGGGTGCAACAGTTATGTTGATTCGCGGTGTCGAAATCCCCAAAGTGGCTGCAACGGCAAGACGCAGCAGTCAGGTTGATACATGGCGTTGAAATCCCGAGAACAATATTTTGGCATGCATCCGGATCTTCAAACGGTTGTCTTCCAACGAGGCAGTTCCCCCAGTGGAAATGAACCGCTACACTGAACTATGATGAAGGAGCTTGGAGGGAGGGTTAATTCCAACATCGTTGATGACTCTTGGGTTTACACTGGTCCTCCTCCTCGTCCTCCTCTTTCCCCTCCTTCCTCCTTCCACTTTCCACATTCCTCCTTCCTCCTTCCCCCTTCTCCTCCTCCTCCTCCTCCTCCTCCTCCTCCTCCTCCTCCCCCTTCCTGCCTCACCCGCTCCCCTCCAGTCGATCTTATCCAACCCACCCCTCCCTTCTCCCTCCGCCGCCCTGCTACTGGCTGGGACTTGGGCGGGCTTTTCGGACTCAATCCACTCACAACCAACATAATCATCAGCATCACAATCATCACCATCATCAACGTCATCATCATCATCATCGCCCTCGCCCTCGCCATGGCGGTAATAACTCGATTTGAATTCGAACAGCCCATATTATAACTCGATGTGGATTATAACAGAACTGGTTTGCACTCGATTGAGTTCATACAGCCCTGGTTAAAACTCGATATGGGTTCTAACGGTCCTGGTCAAAACTCGCTGTGAGTACTAACAGCCCTGGTTAAAAATCGACGTGGGTTCTAACAGCCCTTGTTAGAACTCGACGTGAGTTCTCACAGCCCTGGTCCGAATCCGATGTGAACTCGAACAGCCCTGGTTAGAACTCGATTTGAGCTCTAACAGCCCATGTTAGAACTCGGTTCGAGTTCTATACTTTTTTGGTTCGCGGCTCCAAGGCGAGGGACTTGAAGCGGGTCAACGTCTGGGGCGCGGTGCGAAGATCATTGGCCGCAGTGGCGCATGCACGTGCCAAGGACAAAATGCCCCTCATTGAGACGCAGGACAGCGTCGGCAGGTGACTGGCCCAGACAACCCGGCAGGTGGGGAAGCAAAGGCGCGGCGACCGGCAGCGGAACGGGGGGGGAAGTCGCCCTAGCGGCGCCAAGCTCCAGCCGAAACACATTCGGAAGCGAGGCCATGAGAGACGGCGAGGTACTGTAAAGCCGCATGCGCGGATCCGAATGGCCCATGACCAAGCGAAGCCCACGTGCGTGCACCCAGTGACAGGCCTAGACCGCAGAAAAGAGAAGGGGGAGAGTGCGAGCGCGAGCGACTAACTCAGACTCACTGCAGCACCCCGGGCGAATGATGGCGCGGCGAAAGAGGCCTGACTCATCAAGGCTCACTGGAGCTAAGGTGTGGCTGAACCGCGTCAGAGCGCCATTCAGTAGAGAAAGACCACTGGTGTGCGTTCACGAGGTGGAGCCACCTCCACGAGGCCGTGCGAGCACATCGTCTCCGACTCACGCAGTTCGGGGGCACCACGCTGCAAAGTACTGGCGATGGCTGGTAGCCGGGGCTGCTCTGAAGAGAGCGACCACGAACTGCAGAAGGCTGAAGCACTCAATGCAGGGCCGCTCACTTGCAATGGTGTGGCTGATCCACGTCAGAGCGCCATCCAGTAAAGAAAGACCACTGGTGTGCGTTCACGAGGCTGAGGCACCTCCAGCCATTTCCCAGCGCGTGCACATCGTATCCGGCTCACGCAGTTCGGGGGCACAATGATGCAAAGTACTGACGAGGGCTGGTAGCCGGGGCTGCTCTGAAGAGGGCGACCACGAACTGCAGAAGGCTGAACCACTCAATGCAGGGCCGCTCGCTTGACGAAGCCAAATACTGGGTGTCACCGAGTGCACGGCTGACAGCTGCGCCCAACCACACCTGCCACGC